TGATGTTGTGCGTCTGTGTGTGTGTGTGTGTGTTTATACAGACAGCTTGTTATAGGCTGTCTGAACTCTGTATAGCTGGGTGGTTTTCAGTTACATATAACCGAATTATTATAATAACTTATTAATATAGGTGTTTAAAGCACTTTTATGCATCATGTCATATCACTTAGCTAATACTGTAATTTTTCTGAACTATAAGTACCCCATAAATTTCTGTTTATGCAGCGATTGATATTCATTCCTGTTTTTTACACGTTGAAGCTTCAAAGTACAACTCTAAATAAGATTATTTATGCAAGACTATTATTTTAAAACTGGGAGAGGCAGGGATAAACAAATTTAAATGTGTATATTGTAAAACTTAATGAGGAAATATAAGTGAAATGCACATTTATGCATCATGTCAAATCACTTACCCCCCAAAAAACTTCTGTGTTTATGCAGCGAGTGATATTCATTTCTTATAGTTTTTTAAACTTCTAAGCTTCAAAATACAACTCTAAATGCATTTTTGAACTTATCCAAGCATCATACCTGCTATGTACATATCAGAAAACAAATAAATATATTGAATAAATAAACTAAATGGCAACTTTATTGCTTTGTTTACACTGATTCACATGTTGACATTCAACATTGACTAGTTTGGTAGCAGCATTAAAAACTGCTATAAAACTCTGAATTATTTATTCTGACCAACTCGTTGCAAAACAACAGTTTGCTGAAATAAATCAGACTTCCCATTGTGAACACAAGCAGGTGTGTATACAGTACACAAATACATACGAAAACACATGCATCTCACAGGTGCATCTGCTACACCGACATAAATCACTATAATCACACACACATGTATACTTTGAACACCCCCTATAGAGTGATTCCTTATCCTCCAAGCAAATTTTCCCCTTCAGCATCAGTCGTGCAACTGCTTATAGTCCATTTATCAAGCAGCAGCACAATCTGTACGAGCTAATTCTCCAGCACGCAAGACAGCAGAAGCCCAGCGGTGCTATGACCACTCTGTCTGATCCGGTTTGGCTCAAATATCATTTCTTGCTATTTTTTTAATGAACTGATAAAACCATTTTAACTCACAGATGACCTTGGAATTGGTTGAGAACTGGAGCTGAGAAAAACAAAAATGTGAAATTTATTCATGTTCATGTTCTTAAACTATTAATGGTTGGCTTAAATTATTTGGGCTGCAGATAATAAATTACTTGTTAATTGGGATATGAAGAAGTATAACTCATAGTGATGGGGATCCCAAGTGACTCTTTCCACCAAAAACAATGTCCATTGATTTATTATGTGAATCTTTTTGCAGTGGCAAGCTTATCACAGACATCACTTTAAGTATTTTAGATCCAAGGTCATGGGCAACTACAGCAATGCTGACGTTTAGACAAATAGTTTGATTATCAGTGTAATATTGCCTAACTATTTAAATATTTATTTACAAATTACAAAAAGATTTTAAGGCGTTTTTACCTTTCATACACTAATTTAAAATACAGTGAGTCCTCTTTATTTAAATATAAATTATTAATTTTAAAGAGTAAAAGATTAAATCAAAGGGGCACACAGTATTCCATTTAGAAGGGCTGTTCATTCATTAATTTTTCTTAGTCGCCACAGTGAAATGAACCGTCAACTATTCCAGATTATGTTTCACTCAGCAGATACCGTTCCAGCCACAACCCAATACTGGAAAACACCCATACATTTGCATTTACACAAACTCATCCACTATGACCAGTTTATTCAATTCACCTATACCAAATGTCTTTGGATTGCCAACTGGCAAAGCCAGGACTCAAACCAGCGACCTTCTTGCTGTGAGGCGACAGTGCTAACCACTGAGCCACTATGCCGCCAGAAAGGTTGTTCCCTTTACCATTAGCCTTCAGAGTATCAAATTCCCCACGCAAAGGATCATGGGGGCCAGAAATGTCCATCAGTTGTACCATTCAAAATCCTTCATCCCGAAGGGCCTTTCAAAGTGGCCAGTTTTAAGCACTTTGCTTTGGAATGACATTTCAAAATGGCGATCATGATTGTTTTAACTCCAAAGTGCCCTTCAGAGGGCGATATATATCCCATTTGGACACTCGTACAGTTCACTAAAAGAGTTAGTGCAGTTGAATGGATAACCTCAATAAATGATTCAGTGACTTGCACTTGCAGTGAGGGCCTTTACCCACCTTTACAATTGTTTTATGTTTCACACAAAAGATCTTCAATTACTTTCCTTTAGATTAGTCCTTATTTATCAGTAGACTACACAGGGGAATGAACCGCCAGCTATTACAGCATATGTTCTACGCAGCTGATGCCCCTTTAGCCATAACCCAGTACTGGGAAACACCCATACATACTCTCATTTAAACACACACTCATACACTTTAGCCAATTTAGTTCATCCAATTTACTTATACAACACGCCTTGGACTGTCAGGGAAACCAGAGCACCTAGAGGAAATTCACGCAAACAGTGGGAGAACATGCAAACTACACCCAAAAATGCCAACAGAGTCCCAGTCAGGACTCGAACCAGCTACCTTATTGCTGTGAGGCAACAGTGCTAATCACTGAGCCACCGTGCCACCCCAGAAAAGAGATGTGATAATTAAATTAACTTTAAGGCGCATGAGTTCTTGAAGGCGATTGATGATGGGATACACGTATCCGCACTACACAAATTCCAGTACAAAGCTGTATTGGAGATAGTGTGCATTTATTGTTAAATGGATACTTCACACAAAAATGTTCTTCCTCATTAATTCACACTATAGCAGATCTAAACTTTCATTATAAACTTTCATTCTGAATTGTATTCTTCTGTTGAACACAAAACAACATATTCTGAGGAATGTTGGAAAGAATAAGCCATTAACATTCATATCATTGTTCCTACTATGGATGACAGTGGATGTTTTTTTTCTAACATTCCTCAGTATATTTTCCTTTGTGTTCAACAGAAGAAAGAAAATCAAACAGGTTTGAAACAAGTAAGGGGTGAGTAAGGGTGCTTTCACACATGTGGATCGATTTATTTGTTCCGAAACAGGGAATAAAATTGTTACAATGTTGCTCTTTGCTCTTGGTGCAGTTCGCTTTCACACGGCAAAGTTTCTAAACGGACAAAAATAGCTAAAACTAGTCATGTGCGTGTAAACTCTCCTCACATTGGTCAGAGTTTCATGGTTTATTTTGCTGAGTCCCGCTCAGCTGTGATGCATCCTTATTTTAATATATGACGATGAGCAATAAAATATTATAAGCGAAAAGCTGTGCTTTAATTTAGAATGGTGACACCCACAGACATCGTCACCAAATACAAATCAGATGTAAGACTTTCTCACACATAGCCCTTGGCTAGAATTATGCATTATAGGCTTTACATTATAGAGGGAAATAACAGATAAACCAAGACTGCTGTTAGGTCAATTTTCTTGAAGGATAAACAGCTCTTATTAATATTTCATCATGCTTTCACTTTCGTATTTGACATGAAACTCACATTTACCGGTAGGAATGATGACATCCTGTCCTACTCATAATTCTCTCTTCATATAGCCGTATATCGTTATAATCGAGCCAGGCTCACCTTAGCCAGGCAACCTCGGCAGGTTGTTTTAGCGTGGATCCGAGCACGATTGCTGGATTCACATATGCCAAACAAGCCATGCTAACTGAGAAAACGCGTCAGGTTCAAAACAAAAGTCTAGTCGTGAAAGCACCCTAAATGACTGAAGTGTTTTCATTTTTAGTTGAACTTTTTCAGACCTGGGACAATGTTGCATGCTTTTTTCCCCCTGTCATATGTTAACACTATTAACTGGCCAAGACTGCCAGTACATGTACTGAAATGTTTGTTTTTATTTCGGAATGATGTTTTTAAATACAGTGCTCAGCATAATTGAGTACATTCTATTTTGAAAATGAATATTTTTATTCATTTCTCAGTAAAATTATTCAATGTATTATTGTGCATATTAACAAAACAGATTTAATAAACAGATATATTTATTGAAATAATATTTTCGTCATCAAACATATTTAGAAATTATTACAATTAAATGCAAGCAAAATATTGCAAAAACAATTCAAACTAAAAAAATTTCAACTAAAATTTTCCTTTTATTTTTTGCTTCTCTTGATTTTTTATTTTTTCATAATTTTATATAGCACATAAATTTGGGTGTACTAGTTTTTGTTAGATAAGCTCAAGATTTAGCTTCAGTACTGACTAATCTAATGTATTTGCACAAATATAATATTGTATAGCTTCCTATTAATTCAATTTAATTGAACATGAATTTTAAACACAGATTTGTGGGGGGTGTACTTATATATGCTGAGCATTGTATACATAAATCATTCACATAAAAGATTCAAATAACAAATGAACAAATAATTGATGTCTCAATACTGATAGATTGTACATCAGCGCTCTCCTGTCATTCAGAATTCACTGCTAATAATTAACATTTAAAAAGTGAATGCCTACAAATCTTTCATGTCTACCTTTCATTCAAAAACACTGATTAGTTCACGAACAAAACACTGCTAAGAACTCAAATTATAGAAAATAACAGTGTTCACTTCCCACAGGCAATTTAAGTGAAGTGTGGTTTTACAGTGCATCAGACAAGGAAGAGGCCATGAATTTTGCAATGGAGTCTGGCTACTGTCCAAACTCATAATGGACCATAAAGCTTCAAGATTAGACACAACTATCCTGATCCTCTAAGTACAGTAGACAAGCCACACCTTCAATTTAATGCAGTCTAATGCCTATTCTCAAAGCATGCTATTCACATAAGCTTTCCAGTCTTTCTCCATGGTATGCCATCTCTTGTGATGTTATTTGCAATCAGTGATAAAAAAATAACTTTCTTTAACCTCCTTTTGTGACTCAACCCAATAGCATACTAGACAAAGAACTTGGTTTAAGCCATCTAAATTATTTACAACTTATTCTTTCTTCTCACCTTTAAAGTGCAGTGCATTGGCCAGAATCAAGGCTCCAGCTTTGGACTCCAGTGCTGTTTTCAGAGCTGCTGTCTCTTCCCCATCCATCCCACTTTTAGCCCAGTACTGGAGCTTCTCCATGTCGGACTGTTTTTGTGCATCCTCCAGGGCCACATGCTGCATCCCAAAGTGGGTCTGGAGCTTCTCCAGAAAGCTCTTCTCCAGTTCAGGGGCTTGTTTGGAAAACAGTGCAGAGGAACTGTGCAATATGTAGCTGGTCCCATTTGATTCATGCACAGCCTTCTGTGCTGTGGTCAAAGTCTCTCCTACCACATTCTCATTTTTGGTGATCCTCAGGAGATCATGAAACTGGCTGGCTGTGGATCCTTTTGCTCCACCCCCTAGAGCCAGCAAGGAGTTGGCCAACAGAAGCGGGGAGATGAAGGTGTTGGTCTGGGAACCGTTGGTGCGGAGCGACCTGTACAGCTGCAGCCCCAGGCTCCAGGTGGGGTGATGTAAGCTGGAGATTTCTGGAGGAGAGCCTTGAACTTTTGGTTCCTGTGGAGTAGACGACCAAACGCTTTGTTGAGCCAACAGGAGAAACAGGAGAGGAACAGGAAAGATGGGCTGCATTGCAGAACTGGAGAAAAAAAGGGCAGAAATATTACAATATTATACCATTATACTTTGTAAACAAAACATTATGACCTTGTGCAGTGCGCACATACATTCAGTTGGTCTGATAATGATGTTATGGATGTCAAGTGCTTGCGCATTCCTATAGAGACTAACTGCACACTCTTGTACCAAAGGTTATTATCTGATTATCAAAAACATGTGTGGATGTGTACAATTTACGCAATGGAGCAAAACATGCTGTCAAGTTACGGTAACAATAGACCTTATTTTACTCTTAAATTGGAAAAACCCCATTATAAATCTGGATGGAACTACCAACAAATTGGTCTTCTGCACTTTGACGTCATCTCTGCAGCCCTATTTACTTTATATTGACTACTTAATTGGTGCACCGAATTTAAAATAGAAAAATGTTTGTCTTCTCACTACATCTCGGAAGTTCCTTTCTTTTTAAAGTGTCAAACACTTAAAAACACTTTTTCTCACAGATTAAATCAAGTTTGATTCATAAAATCAAGTTTCAGCCAAGTCTCTCTTACTCTCTCTCATTTCTCAAATGTTAATTAGTCTAAACCCTAAGGACGATTTGTGGTCCTGCGAGGCCTCGGGACACCAGCCTCTTGAAGACTTGCCAAAAAACTTTTATTTAAATGTATTGCATTTAATTATACTGTTGGAAAACTTTCAAGTACTGTTTCCTCATCTATATGAATTTTACATTTACAGTGTCCTGCCTTCAGATGCTTCAGCTAAAGGCCCTGCAGGGACCCAGCCCAGAGTTCATCCATTGAGCAAAGTTTCGAAATGATTATAATAATTTGTTGCAATTTTATATACTTTAGTTACTAGTGTTTACCATATATACTATAACAACAATGAAAAACTAGATTAAAAGAAATGTAACAATATGATTTAAAATCTTTTTACGAAACTTTCACTTATAAATCTATATTGAGGTAAAGTTGGTTTTATATTCACATATTCACACATTTTAACAGTCTCTTCATTGTTTATCACACTATCCTTTGATTATTAGGTCTGAAAACACATGTAAATATGACTTTAAAACAACATTAGCACTATTTAATTGACTGTCAACAATATGATAGTCATTGGCTGCTAATATGATTTCCTTATTCAGAATTTACATATGATAGGCTATTTTTCTGAAATCATATTATTAAGGAGAAAGGTTAAATGTACGAAAATAAAACCAGCTTTACCCCAATAACATCAATGATATATGTGGTATTTTATTGAGGTAAAGTTGCTTTTATATTCACACATTCGTTGTGACAACTTGTGACATTCTTTCGATGTTGTTTACCATGATACTTTAAATATTTGGTCTGAAATCACATGTAAATGACTGCAAAACAACATACTTTATATTTGATATATGATTTCACCATTTATAATTCGCAAAGAATACTTCTGAGATTATATGATTAAGGAGAACGTCCGAGCGTGTGAATACAAAACTAACTTCAATTGGTATTTTGGCGTAAAATGGTTATACTATGATGTTTTTCCATAATAAATCCTCTTTTGGCAATAACCTCGACGTCAAATTCATTCCCCAGACTGTTGCGCCGCTGACAGGGCATTAAATAACGACCAAACGTCCTCACGGCCTGTATACAGTACATCATTAAAATCCTCTCGAACCTAAACCATAACCGAACAGCGTCCTCCGGAAATTTCACTTTATATCCAAGAGATCACAGAAAAGACCGAATAAACAAGCCCCTTAAATAACAGCAGACGTCGGAGAATATTACACAGGCGGAACAGTAGATGTTGATTTTTGCTCTTGCTGAGCGAGCGCAGCTGTTCCGTCTGCTCGGAGAACTGAGGGGCAAAAAACAAAGTGGAAGAAGTTCCTTGTTTGCGTGTACCGTTAATTAATTAAAGCTTCCTTCTTTCTTTCGGCTTCTTCTGCAGGTTTGAGCTGAAAGGAACTGACAGGGCAGGTTCAGACGTGGCAGAGGAGGGTCTTTTCACAGTTTGCTCACTTTTCCTCCAGCATAATTCGCTCTTTGTGATCTCAATCCGGGTATTTTTTCCTCTTTCCAGATATCTCGCACTTTCCACTAACCTCCATGTAGCAAATAACAACGCTTACTTGGTTGCTGAGTCGTTTTTTCTATTACTCTCTATTAGCGTTAGATAGCATAAAAAGCGTCAGTGTGCATTGTGATTTATTTTTTGATTTCCAAAATCGATATTTAAGCTGTTTTTTAGGTTTTTTGTAAGCAACCGGTTGATTCCCCTCAGCTGTAACTCGAGGAAACACGCAGTTGCTATAATAACCGAAAGGGGGCGCGCGCGGTCTACACCGCCACGGCCCTAACATAAGGTCGACTTGTCCCTTAATAGCATGTCATGTATCCGCATGTAAAAGCATTAAACACACTCCTCTTCGTCCTGGTTTACATTTGAGTATCCAGAATTATTACAAAACTACTGCTTTGTCATAATTCTCCAACATCCTCAGAGAAAACTTCGCAAAAAAATCAGCTAGGTAAAGTTCAAGATTAGTCAATAAGCAGATAGCACAAGCAGACAGAATCAATTGATGTTCAGATAGTCAAAGATGGAGGAAAAGGAGGATCAGACCTGGAGACAGACTCTCAGATCACGGCAAACACGCTGCAATACTAAACAGCCTGCTGGGACATGACAGTACATAGACTCTGCCAATTACTTCTCTAATCCACATCACACTCTCAGATAGTCGTCTACAAAGCACACTTCGGCGAATGCACAAGTGCCAGTCCCTCTAGGACTCTTTTTCTGATTTTTGCAGCCTCAAAATTACCTTCTCAAAATTTGCAGCACTATTTTCGGCACAGGGCTATATGAATAATAGATACAAATGATAGAAATATTGTGAATGTTGATATATCTAATATCTACATATCGCAGTGGTTTGTAATAAATGAGCAATTTAATCAGAGATTATGCTTGTGTGCCTGTCATTATCTGCAATTAGACGTAAAGAGGCATCTCTGAAACAAAGCAGAGAGGACATGCTGTTTTATTATTACTTTATTTATTTTATATAAATAAGACAGCAATGATGTAACACTCTGTTTCAAACGCGTTTGTTTATCTGAGTGTTCTTGATGTTTTCAGGCTGATTAAACTATACAGTGGAGGAAAGTGGTGGGGATATTTTATTTATTGCTGTTTGCATTGTTAAACTTTATGATTTGTTCTGTGTAACATTAAAAAGTTTTCTTCTGCTTTCTGAACTTGGGTCAAACTTTATTTTGATGGTCCATTTGTTGAATTTAGTTACATTGCATCTAATAGGCTGTTAGATTAAGGTTAGGGTTAGCGTTAGTTGACATGTACTTGCAAAGTTTCTTATAGTCAGTTAAATGTCTGTTGCAGGAGCGGTCTCAGCAGATATTCAGCAGACAGTTTACTAATACTCAAATGGACCATCAAAATAAAGTTTTACCTGAACTTGTAATTAGGCTGTTCATTTTTTTTTTTTTTGCCCAAAAAGAAAATATAATGTTGGTTAAAATATATTATATCTCTTAGGATAATGCATTATTTAGCAAGCATTATCACATTCAATCTTGTCTTTTTTTCCTTAATTTTTAAAATGTTTTATTTATACATTGTAAAACACATTACAAAAACAATATGCAAATACACTAAAGAGTATTTTGAGCAAAAGAAAATTATTACATAAAAAAAACTAGTGCAATATTACATACAGAACATACTGTACAGGTCTAGGAGTAGGAGTTGTGGACTCAATCAGAAGGAGCAGGATCAGGCTGAAGAGTTTGGACATGTTTGTGAAGAGGTTTCCACAGTTTAATGAAAATCGTGCTAGGTCGGTGAAGAGAGTACCTAATTTTCTCTAATTTCATAAAATAAAGAACCTTTCTCATCCAACAAGTGTAAGAAAAAGAGTAAGGGCTCTTCCAGTTCAGAATAATTAACCGCCTAGCCAGAAGGATTAAAAAGGCTACACAGTCTACAAAATGAGAGGGTAAAATGTGGCCGGGTGGAAGAACCCCAAATAAACCAATAATTGGACAAGAATATCAACATTGGTAATTGCAGACAACGAGAGGAACATTTGCCTCCAAAAAGAAAGCAGGAAAGGACAGGACAAAAATATATGCATTAAAGTAGCTAAACCAGAATGACACCTGTCTTTACTTCATTTTTTGGCCTCAAGAATTATTGAGCTCAGTAATTTACAGTGTATACAAATGTAAACACTGAATACAAAGAGAGAAACTTAAGCTTTACCTTTTTACGATGTATCATTTTGATAAACAAAGATTTATTTTGATTATTTTGTGTCCTTTATTGAAAAACTAATCCTCTACATTAGCAAAATGATTAGTTTTAGTAAAACACATGCTAATATAAATGTATATAATATCATGTATTTGTTCGATTAATCAGCATTGTAGGCCTTTTGCATTGCATTATGTTTTTCCCACTACAATTAAAATGTTAAAGCTTTTTTAGGAGATTTAGATAAATAAATTAGATTTATAAGTATTTTATGCAAGTAGTCTGCTGTATTGTGAAAATATATAAAATTTTCATGATGGTCAATGTGCACTTACAGTTGGAGTGGTAATGCGGTCATTCACAAACTGAGAGCAAAAGGTTTAGCAATCAATTTAATGCACTTGAAGTGGGCTTTGGCTGAATGCCATTGTAATATTGTCACATGACACAACTAATAAGGATGTTAAAAAATTTCGGCAATTAAAAAAAAAAATTCTCTAACTTTTGCATTTGCTTAATTTTGCATTAAATTCTGCAATCACAGGATCCTAAAGGGACTGAAGTGCATGCTAGGCATGGGCTGGTATGTTCTGACGGTAGGATAATCTTGGACAAATAAAATCACAGTTTTACGGTATTGTGATTGCACCTCCAAAATATTTTCTTTTTAAATGCCTGGGTAAAAAAAAAAAAAAAAAAACTTATTTCCCCATTGAACACAATAAATTTTATTTTGAGAAACATTTAAAGTATTTTGGAGCAGTAAACATGTCAGACTAAATAAATCAAATCAATCATTGACTTCTGCTGTCTTTGTTTGTTTCTAAAACATATTTCTTTACAATTTAAACCAACATTTAGGATTTCTTTTCTACTGAAGATACTGTTGTCTAAAAAAAAAGGTAAAAACAAAAAAAACTTTACATACAATTAAAGTCAGATTTATTAACCCCCCTGTTTATTTTTTGTCCAATTTCTGTTTAATGTAATGGAAAGATTTTTTTCAACACATTTCTAAACATAATAGTTTGAATAACTCATTTCTAATATGTAGTTTATTTTATCTTTGCCATGATGACAGTAAATTATGTTTTTCTAGATAATTTTCAAGACGCTTCTATACAGCTTATAGTGACATTTAAAGGCTTAACTAGATTAATTAGGTTAACTAGGCAGGGTAGGGTAATTAGGCAAGTCATTGTATAATGATGGCTTGTTTTGTAGACTATCCAAAATATATAGCTTAAAGGGGCTAATAATTTTGACCTTAAATTTAAAAAAAAAATTAAAACTGCTTTTATTCTAGCCGTAATAAAGCAAATAAGACTTTCTCCAGAAGAAAAAATATTATCAGACATACTGTGAAAAATTCCTTACATTGTTAAACATCATTTGGGCAATATTAAAAAAAAAAAATTCAAAGGGGGCTAATAATTCTGACTTCAACTGTATACCATAGGAATGGTTTAACAGAAATTTTTTGGCGGTTTTAAAACCATGACTTTCCCAAACTGCGGCATACCTTAAAAACAGTTATCGTCCCATGCCTAGTGCACTCACAATGCTTCTGTTTGACTCTGACACAAACATACAGTAGACACACACACACCATAGCTTTGACTCTTGTGTTGTGATGGCTAATTAGACATACATGCTGTACATATGCTTTTTGAATCTAAAGCTGTCAGTGGCCTCACGCATCACATCCAGTGCATTCACCCCCAACGCTCTCATACTGCTTGCATGCTGACTGGAAATACGCCCCTCCTTCACTCCCTCTCTCACACACACACATGCGCACACTCTCAGTAATGATGACTAATGTGTGACTGGTCATGGCTGCTTGCTTTATGTGGAGGATAGGGCTTAGTGGAGTAACTGGATATGTCTTAACCATCTCTCTGGGAGCTGCTGCCTTAAGGACCTTCGCAGAACATCACAGTCATTGGAGCCTGTAATTAGTTGCCCTTTCATACTGGTCTAGAATCACCCCCCTCCCTGTTCTCAAATCAAAACCTCAGCCGTTATAAGAGAAACTGTTAAACCGATCAGGTTATCACAGCCAGCCAAGCCTATAATGAGCAGCTTTCACAGATACACCGGTCCAGGTGATCCATCTGCCCGCGGCTGCTTCGCACCTAAACGAGTCCCCAAGGAGACCGCCGAGATCTCCGGACACCCTGTGGGAGATTTGCATCTTCCAGGGGTCTCACCTTTCACCATTGCAAAACACCTTTACCCTTCGCTCTGCTACTCTTATTTCAGCCTTTGACCTTCTAGAGGCACCTTTACAAAGCTCATTTCGCCCCTATAGCTGTAACAATGCCGCTGATGTTCTCCTAGATTTTAAATTCCGTCTCAGGATCTTGTTTCCACTTATCAGGTCATTCAAACAGACGGATTTTCAACTTTAGCCTTGCAGTAGGTCCATTGGTTAAATGTTTGCTCTTAGGCCATGACGACACTGCAGTCAAACATCTGCAAGAGAACGTCTAGCTTGTTTATTATGGGTTGTTTGTAAAGATGAACTAATATTCTGATACATAATGCAGTTCTGAAACAACCAGAACACTTTAGCAACTATGGGGATGCACCTAATTTTAACCATAAAGACATGTTCGATAACAATAGTGTATGCGTGTATTTTTTAAAACTATATCTGTATAATTGATACCATATATTAATAATAAAGATATAGTTTATAAAAAACATTCCATTTTCAACAATACTGTTGACAGCAC